CTAGTTTTGGAAAATCGCATGTACAACTATAAGCAACCAATACGACTGTCGGAGGTTAGTTAACGTTTAGACGTGAACCTAATTGCAGCCTTAAATTTAACCAGATGTGTGGGCATCAACAATAGATATGGGAATAGGGGAGCAAATGCTATCAATGCTGTTACTAGGTCGAATGATGCCGAAATAAGTGGTACATTGATGACTTATCCGGTGATGATTTATCCTTAGTGTATATTGTCGATGCCGTCTGCTATGAGTGAAGTTGAGCCTGTAGACAAGTTGATGGCCGCACAGCGTATGAATACGACGGGGTCTTAACAGCAGTGCGTTTTCGCCGCCTAAGAATGGATCGATCTGATCGTTTCCTGTCTGAGGTATGTGTGGATTTCCGAGCGACGGCCCTCGCTCTAATTGAAGTGTTGGAAGGCAGTAATATCACATCTTCTCTGATGGCCACTTTGACACGACCACAGCAATACTACATCGATGAGATCGCTTTGCTCCCTGTTCAACTTTCGACTTTCCAACAAGTGTTCAAGCTGTTGTAGCAGGTTTCTAAGAAATAACTTGACCAACATCCAATTATTCAACCGTAGGCTGATGTAGCTGTATAACCTACTGTGGCGATAAGCTGTTTACTAACAATCTGGCATCAGACATCTCGGTTGCAGCCATACTGCGCTACAAATGAATTGTTTCTGTGCACTGATTTCTTTTTCGATGAAATGTACCAAGGCACTACCGTTCCATCACAGTTACGTACTTCTAAGTCAATCCAAAAGATTGGATATTTCTAATTCAATTTCTAGCACGCCTTTGCCCTTCCGCCTCTAAGTTCAATATGACTGGTGAGCCACAGGAAATATAGCTACAGTCACTCTCATGACTAACGTGTGGAACAAAATAAGTGGTATCAATATCATGAAAAGCGCTAGTCAGTTACTTGCCGGGATTGTTCACTTTACACGGATGAGCCGACGTAGACACTTGCAACGAAAGTTGTTGCGCCTCGAACTTCGAAATCCCAAACTGCACTCCAAAGCGAGGAAGCGTTGTAGAGTATTTTGGCTCCAGCGATAATTTTTGATCACTACACCCGAATCTTCACTCGAATGCTAGAACGAATGTCTAATGTTGTAAGCAGCAAACGCTTGTTAGCCTGGAACTGACGCGCTCCCAACAGAATCAATCTGTAAAGGGTGCTGGATATTCGGTACACAACAATCAGCGCCTCAAGGAGCATAATTGCAAATCATCAACTACAAATCACTAACTAACCACCAGATATGATTGTATCCGAGCGAATCCTTGAGGATAGCCGACCAGTCCAAAAGATTCATCCGTGCTCCTTAGAATCCGTCACACACAGACGCATACACGCGCGCGTTTCGATGTTCGGCCTTTCAATTGTGCATGCAAATTAGACCGAACAGAATGGCATATGTGTTTCATGAGCGGTCTGATATTCGCAATGAGCAACACTCGCATAGATGTTTGAAGACGAATCGAGGTCATTAGCATTAAGAGTCGCACTCAGGTCGGACAGTAGGTCCACATGGACTGTGTAGCCCCGGTGAGTGCGACTGCAATATGTCACCTTTGCCGTACCGGGGGAACTAACGTGTTCCCATGCTTTTGAGCTCCGGTCACCATGTGGATACTGGAACCTAGTGAGTAAACTTCTTAAAGTGCATAGTAACCTGCATTCCTGCGTCTGGTTATTGAGGCTGTTGTCAGGCTTAGCCTAGATAATTGCGGCATGTCAGCGCCAATGCACTTTAATAATGTAGCCCCACAGTGGTGCATGATACACCACCATCCCAATGGGAGAACATTAATCTTCGTTGACTTTACTAATGCGAACGTGTAAGACTTCGGTTTTGAGGTAAGAATAACAACCAAACTTTTTATGCTACGAGCAGTTGCGCGTCGAATAGTAAGTGTGCAATAAATGTTTTACTAACACTGTCGAAAAATACCTGCGTTCCGTCTGGCACTTGGTGCTAGCCATTGGCTAGTCAACTGAAGCACATGTCCAAGTCAGCGAAGTCTCCGCAGTGAAATGTTGCTGTCAATTAGTCAGTGGAATTTTTCAGGTCTGAAGACTCGCCGACGGACATCATCATTTTTGACGTGATGCCACCATCGAACACCAGCAATGCTTCGCAGGCAACGGTGATCGAAAACAAATGACCGCTGAACATCCATCTCGCGAACTGGCCAACTCTCGGAACCGTACAGCAGAATCGCTCGCACCACAACATTGTCGACTTGTCGCTCAAGAACGACGCTGAGGTCACGATGAAGCCACATGTGACGGAGGTTAGCGAAAGCTACTATAGCCTTGGAGATGCGTAAGATCTCATTCGTCAAAGCGCCAGCAATAAGACAGCTCTCAAGATAAATGAGTTTGTCATTTGGGGTAATAACAAAGATGTCTGTCACGTTGTTCTCAGCCTTTGTCAGACTATATTTGGAATACTTCGTGCAGGTCTGCTCTTAATGCTTGATCCGCGACAAGCTGGCAGTTGAACGAGTTCTGAAGATTATTACAAAAATGATGCACAGGGTAAGAACTCACGCGTATCCCGATAGGCTGCTCAGATTGCAGCTGTTTTCGCCACAATACAGATGCCTTCGATGCGACTTGCTCTTTACATATCGTATACTGAATGGCCATATTGGACCTGCTCTATCCCTGCTCTTCCATCCCACCCGAATGCGAACTCTTCGCGGCCATTCTCTGAAGCTTCATTCGACCATATCCGATCTTTGAATTTCGTTTACCACCTAAGGTTGTAGATCCATGGAATGCATTACCCAAGGATGTGCTACTAGCATGAACGGTGAAGAAGTTTAAAAATTGACCCGATGCCCTTGGGTTGCAGTACGAAACTTTCCCTTTTGCCTCTTACCTATTGTTCCCATTTCTTTGACTTTATCTCTTATTATTACTATTACCTTATTTTGTATATTTGTGTTTATATTAAAATCATACATGCATTATTCGAGACCCAAAAATACGGCGTGCACACTTCCGGGTTATCAGGAAAAAGACTACTAATTCGCTTTGCTAATTATATTTAGACAGCTTATATATTTATATATTTGGACAACTTAATTTCCTCTGGAAGGTTACCAACATTTTGATCTGGAGCTGCAACCGAGTACGTGGACGACTGACGTTGGTAAGCCGATGACATCGCCTTACTTGGTGACGACTCACAGAATCACCGGTGATCGTAAGAAACTAGCCTCTTTAAGTCTGCCGATCGAATAAACCATACTTTACTACCGAACAGCTGTATTATACAGCCTACTCTTCAGGGAGATTGATGTCGTGCCAGCGCCACAGATGGTGAAGGTCAGCAAAAGCGCCTCGAGCTTCTGCTATCCAGTTTGGTACTTCGTCTTCGCTTCCGCAGACGCTGGTACCCCTGCCTAGGTAACTGAATTTCTGAACATTTTC